GCATAGGAACAAAAGAGACTGGGGGGGGTGTTAAGAATAGTATATAAGAAAGGGAGAAGCCAAAGAACTTACATGCATGACCCGTGCACATGAACTAAGGGGGGTGGGAGCGACTGCTGGAGGAAAGCAGGTACCAGGTGGAGGGGGGCAAAGGGAAAAAACTGAGACAGCTGTAACAGCATAATCAATAAAATATACTTAAAAATAATAATAAAATTTATTACTAAGCTATGAAGAAGAATGAGATACTGAAATATTTTCAGAACTATATTCATTAAATACATTGAATGCTAATTTGAGATATCTTGGTCAGTTAGCTGAGATGATTTCTATTTTTCTAGCAAATGAAAAATAAAGTTTAATAAAGTAATAATTAGTATTTGTAATGATAAATTGAGCACATATTTTATTTAAAATGCTGTTACGGTTCATAGCTACTAATTTTCTGCATTAGATCAGTACCCACTAGACCTCTTTACAGGCTTGTATTAGCTCATATTATATTTACAGGGTGGTAATTTTCCCTGAGGCTAGAACTATGAATTAAGCCATTTTCTAGCCCAGGACCCTTGTTAAGGTACACCAAGATAGTCCCTCTATGCTAGGTAGAGTTGCTTGGACAGTTGAATCTGACTAGAACTGATAATTTTAGATACTTTAAAAATAATTTTTCATGGGAGTAGCATAACATTTGTTAGGCTCCTTATTTCCCTATCATTTCATTAGTAATAATTTTTCAATTTTCATTTACTATGTGGTTTGTGTGTTGTACAGGTAAACACAAAAGTAGATAAATGTTATATATTTGCCAAGTGCCCCATGACTCTTTCTCATTTAGGACAGGAAGTCAAAGAAAGCTTGACTGTCTTTTGTCTTGTAGGTTTCTTCAGCAGGAACTAGAGGAGAGAGGGATTCGGGCCTCTTTTACAGACTCTTTGGGAAAAAAACAATGTCTTCATCCTCAGTTCTTAGACTTCAAAAAAAAATAGTGACAGAAACTGATAGAATAATGAGCTTGGCAATTTTAAACTCTGAGAAAGATGCAGTGTGTAAAAGGTTACTGCTTTATGAATTACAATTGTATTGCTTAGGGCAATGTAGTTCCCTTGGCCAGCACCAGAAACCTGGGGATAGGGCCCAGCAATGCCTTAACAAACCCTCCAGGTGATTCTGAGGCCTCCAAGTAAAGTTTCAGAACAATGGGCTTGGGCAATTATGTAAATTTAAATTGAGGACCTTGAAGCATTTCCTTTTCCATAGTGCTTCACAGCCAGTCCTTATATGGATGATTTAAGGTAATAGAAGTGAATGTTTTAAAACTGTTAGATTTCGCATTTACAACTGTTATGTAGGGCATACCTAGTCTGTTTCTCACCTGGATAACAATCCAGTTTTTGAAACTAAAATTGCTAATATAAAACCTCTTAAAGTTCAAATGAATGCTAATAGGCAATCAGTTGCGTCTTTACTTTAAACATCTTTTATTGTAATAAAATATATATAACACAATTTGCCATCCTAACCATTTTGTGTGTGCACTTCAGAGACATTGATTTACTTCACAATATCTTGCAACCTCGGTTATGGTTTGTTTGGTTTTTTTCTTTCAACGAGGAAAAATGTTTTCACCTTGATTACCTGTAATGCAATGTTCTTCGAACGTGCGTCCACCGCCACCATTTCTACATCTAGATACCTGGTGCAGCCGAGCGGCAATAAGGCATGCGTCGGAAGCTGAGGTCGCCGTTCGCGGTCTGCTGGCCGCCGGGATCCCTTGGTTGCGTCCGGCTCCTAGCACAGACGGGAGCGCAGCGGCTCTGCGCTCCCGGGCGCTCCGTGCGCGGTGCAGGGACGCGCAGCGCCAGCGAGGGGAGCTGCAGGGTAACTTTTCCCAGGGAAAGCGGCCAGTCGTCCCCACTAGAAGCCTCCCTGCCTTTTGTTTGTTTTCCTGCTGGAGGCTGGAGAGCGGCCGGGTTCCTGCTGCTCTACCATGCGCCGCGCGGCCCGTGCGACTCGCCGGACCTCCCGGGCGTCCCTGCACGGACGCCTCGGCCTGTCCTAGCAGGGATCGCCCTCATTTTCACTTCCGGAGTGGGCTGCTGCGCCCCACTCGCCGAGGAGCTGCGCTCACCGCAGGGGCGGGCCCCCGCCTGTGTTCGCCGCGCCAGTAAGTAGGGTCAGGGATTTAGGGGCTTTTGCCGAGCGACCTGTCACTCGGGGTGATGGACTGGAGCTGCAGAAGGACCCGTGTTCCGTGGCCCTGGAGTGATCGGAGCGGGAAGGAGAGGTTAATGGGCTGTAGTTTCTCTGTGCGATCATGTGGGTCTCTCTCTCCCTCTCGGCATGAAAACTCCCGTTTCCTCGGAGTCTGGAAGATTTCGATGGATGTTTACCTTTTAGTGTTAAAAAGGAGAAAGATTCATGCCCGATTTGAAGCCCCTTTAGTAGGATGTGGAGGACTTGCTCTAGGAATTTTCCTGACTAGGCCTTCGGCTGTCCCGAAGGGGTCTGAGCAAGAATCCTCGCACATTTCTGTGCAACCATTTTTCACTGGATTTCTTTCTGCGCTCTGATTTCTTTCTTACTAAAGGGAATACATGTTATGAAAGGGATGTTGACAGATTTTCTAGAACAAGAGTTTCTTTAGTATTCCACCTTTTAAAGTTTGACTTTGACGCTAACATCAAGAGCTTTTACTTTTAAATATTAAAGTAGCTTAATGCATCCTTCTGCAGAGTATTCATCTCCACTTAGAACTAAATAAAGATCTGTTTTTGCTAAAGCTTGATTGTACTAAGAAAATACCACCTTGAATTTTGCATGAAGAGCTATATTTCTCTAAGGTATTGGCAGTTGTGTTTTTTATTCTGTCTTGCAGCACAGTATAGCAATAGACGTTTAGTAGCCACAGTTTTCACTTCTCACATTTTCCAATGAGTGGGCTTCCTGGTTGTGCCCCAAAAGTGAATTGTACTATAGCTTGATATAAAATTAAAATGAGCTTTAAATCTGTGTAGTCAACATATAAATAATTAAGAAGAATTTGTCTCAACCATATGCTAGCTGTGTTAGGAGTTAATATATGCATAAATATGCACATATGAAATAGTTTCTGAACAAAGCGCTACAATTTGGTACAGAATCTTCAAGGCCTTCCTGTCTGTTGAGGACCTAAAACACTAAGAAGTGGGTGTAGAAATAAATGAGAGCTGTGCTGGGGTTCTTTATGTAAAATGATATCCTGTACCACTGCTCTCTCCCTAAGGTCCAACCCTCTACAGTGACCCTGCACACTTTTTATCCACCCCGCCCCCCCCCCCAAGTTTGCTTTGTCGCCCTTCTCCAGAGTCAAAACTGGTGATTGGGCAGGAGTGGGCAGTCATGTTTCTAAATGAGACTGGTTCAGTTTTAGATGATGGGGAGATGCGGTAGAGGGTTGATGGAGCCTATATGAATAGGCAGAGCCCTGTCTTCCTTGCTGAGGGAAGTAAGCATTTAGTTACAAAGAAATGATTTTTCTCAGTGAAGTTTCCTACCTGCAGGATGAAGAACAGACCTAGCGGGGATTGGGGTGTTATCTGTTGACTGTTCAACATCCTCAAAGCCCATTGCTTGCTTTATTCTCATTGCTTTTTGAGGTTCCTAATAAAGGTGGAAATCATTTGTATATTGAACCTTTAGAATTACCTTTATCTTTCCCTTCATTTCCTTCCTCCTTTATGTCAATGAGTCATCAAAACCTATATATATCCGTCAGTCTGTTTTAATCCAGAACCTCGCCTTTCCTCTCCTGCAGACTGGAGCAGCCTCTTAGCTAGCCTTCCAAGCCTAGCTCTTAGTAAGTCATCAGTAAATGTTTCATGAATGAATGAATGAATGAATGAATGAGATGCTCCTCTTTCAGGAATCTTTAGCATTCCTTGTCCATCTAATCTTTTTAAACTTTTGAACTATTTCTCTCATATGCCTCTAAGCCTTGCCTTGCCACCTGCAGTTCCTCTAAAGTCTCTAAAATAATTTGCCTGACTTTTCAAGGCCTTTGTAATCAGGCCTCACCCCTCCTACCTAAATCTTATTTTCAGTTTCACACCTTTGTGCTCTCTGGGGCTTGGTCTTCTTGCTATCCTGCTAAAGGGGCCAGGCTCCTCCTAGAAATTCCCTCCTTTCTCTCCACTCTCCTGTGCAAATCTTTGGCATCCTCTGAGGAGGAGCCTAAGTCCTACTTTTTTCATAGCGTCTTCTCTAACTACTCATTTCTCTCCTCTTTCCTTAAAGTCTTAAGAGACTTGTTTGTTAGCCCTTCCTTATACTGGCTATATTGATCTCTAATTGGTTTAGGCTATTTTAAGCCTCTTTAGGGCAGGAGCCATATTTTATGCATGGTAACGTGGCGTTGTGGGCTTTGGAGTCAGGCAGAATTGAGGTCAGGGCCTGACTCCACTTACTACTCATGTGGCCTTGTGGGACTGGCTCAGCATTAGTTCTCTCACATGTAAAATAGGGGAAATGCTTCTCCAGCTGATTGTGCTGTGAGGGTGATCTGGTGCCTGAACAGTGCCTGGCGGATGCCTGACAAAACTCTGCTCATCCCCCAACAGTGATTTGCAGAGGCTGAACAGTTTGCAAATATTTGGTCAATGGTTGTTAATTGACTTGTAGCAGACCACAAGTCGGCTCAGCCTGGAGGCCCAGAGCATGGTAATCATGCAGTGAAGCTTAGTGAGTGTCATCCTGCCCTTACTTAAAATGGCTTGAGCTTAGGTTATTCCTGGCTAGAGCTCTGCTTCTGGGATCCGTTACTGTTTTTCCATCTGAACTTTGCCAGGAGCACTACTGCCTTTGGATTTTTTTTTTTTTTTTAACTGCTTCTTTTGAGGCAAGCTCCTACATTTCATTTTGCAGGATCTTACTGAGTTCGAGTTGTACCTCGCTCGCTTTTCTATTTTTCTGCTGACGGGGTGTGTATGAGTATATGTGTTTGTGGCAAGACTACTTACCTAGCTCTTTCTTGGCAGAATTCTGGGTACAGTGACCTTTCTGTATATGTCAATCTGTCTGTCTGTGAATAGTGTCTGACTTCATTGTAAATTCTCTCAGCAGCAGTCTGACGAACGTGGCGTTCTGAGAAGGGCCTCTGACTAGGGTGTCAGAAACCTCCTGTCTATGGACCTTGGTGTTTGTGGTTGATGTGCTGGGCTGGAAGAATGTGCAAACAGAGGTGTGTACTGGGCAACATACACGTACATTGTTCAGCGGTGATAGTACAGCCATGTCCTAGTCGTGGCTGTGCTTACTTTTGAAACCCAGTTTTAACTTCCTTATCAATACACACGTGTTCTAGAAAATTACCCTGTAAAAATAATGTAGTGAAGCAAATCATTTTCTGGGGAAAATTGTATGAAAATGCTAAGAAGTGTTGTGGCAGGAAGGAATCAGATGCCTTTACTTGCAGCTAAAGGGGAAGTTAAAGAAGCAGCATGAGTTCCTCCCGATATGGTGAGGGCAGATATGGACATTCACACTCAATCTCTGCGCCTAGTGAGGTGCTGTACGACGTCAGGAAAATATTACTACTCAACAGATCCTAGAAAGATACTCAGTCCACTCGGAAAGCTTCGATTCTTGATTTCCTTCCAAGGAAACTGAAGCATCCTTTCTCATTGAATAAATGCCTGATGCTTAGTGCTTTGAAAGTTGAAACCTTTATGGAAAGAGTATTTGTGGTCAGTCACTGGTGCAGCTGGAATCAAATCCTATGTGCATGGATTTGTGAAGCTGTTTCAGTGTGTGAGAAAGCACATTTTTAGAGATCTGTCACCTTTTTTATATGTGGCTCAGAGTTAACAATACATACATATATTTTTTACAAAAGGGGAATTGGGGAGCATTTGATACATCTTTAATAGATTATTAAAACATTTCTTATTCACACATGTGCTACTCTAAGGGTAAGGATTCTATTCCTATCAGTTGGGTCTCTAGATCTCATCTGTAAAGTGAGGGTGTTGGATGATTAATAAGGTCCCTTAAAGGAAAAAAATCTAATTTTATAGCCTGAAGTTTCCTCAACATTATGCTACGCCCATGTTGAACTTTGGCTCTAGTGAATTTAGCTTTCAATCTATACTAATTAGCATTATTATATATTATTCTACTTTAAACTTTTCCTAGATTTTAAATTTGTCATCTTAACTCAGTTGTTGTTGTTGTTTTTAAACAAGAGCCACAGTAGAGCCTCACATGTCACTTGGTGCATTTCTGCCACACTGGGGGCCCTTAATAGCCACTTGATAAGTATATAGTTATGGCCAAGAGCTGAAGAGCTACATTTTTTTTTTAATTGTTCAAGTACAATTGTCTCCATTTTCCCACCAAACTTTCCCCCGCCCCACCCACCCCCACCACCCACGCTCACTCCTTCCCCACTTTGGCTTTGTCCATGGGTCCTTTATACATGGTCCTTGATTTGACCTTTCCCTTTTTTTTCCCATTATCCCCCTCCCTCTTACTTCTCATTACTCTTGATTTCTTTTTTCTTTCAATGTTGCTGGTTATATTTTTCTTGCTTCTTAGTTTCATTGATTAGGTTCCACTTATAGGTGAGATCATAATAGTATTTGTCTTTCACTCCCTGGCTTATTTTGCTTAGCATAATGCTCTCCAGTTCCATCCATGCTGTCGCGAAGGGTAGTAGCTTTTCTTTCTGCTGCGTAGTATTCCACTGTGTAAATGTACCGTAGTTTCTTGATCCACTCATTTATTGATGGGCACTTAGGTTGCTTCCAGCACTTGGCTATTGTAAATTGTGCTGCTAGGCACATTGGGGTGCGTAGGTTCTTTTGAATTGCCATTTTGGCATTCTTAGGGTATAATCCCAACAGTGGAATTGGTGGGTCAAAAGGCAGTTCCATTTTTAGTTATTTGAGGAAATTCCAAACTGTTTTCCACAGTGGCTGCACCAGTCTGCATTCCCACCAACAGTGCACCAGGGCTCCCTTTTCTCTGCATCCTCGCCAGCACTTGTTTGTTGATCTGTTTATGATGGCCATTCTGATTGGTGTGAGGTGGTACCTCATGGTGGTTTTAATTTGCATTTCTCTGATGGCTAGAGATACTGATCATCCTTTTATCTGTCTCTGGGCCCTATGTATGTCCTCCTTGGAGAAGAGTCTGTACAGGTCCTTTGCCCATTTTTTAACTGGATTGTTTGTCTTCCTAGAGTGGAGTCATGTGAGTTTTTAATATATTTTGGAGGTCAAACCCTTCTCTGAGGTTTCATTGGCAAGTACATTTTCCCATACGGATGGTTGCCTTTTCATTTTTCTGACATTTTCTTCAGCCATGCAGAAACTTCTTATTTTGATGAAGTCCCATTTGTGTGTACTTTCCTTTATGTCCCCTTGCTCTGGGGGACATACTGGTGAAAATATTGCTGCGTGGATTATCCGAGAGTTTCCTGCCTATGTTCTCCTCTAGGACTTTTATGGTATCATGACTTATATTTAAGTCTTTTATCCATCTCTAGTTTATTTTTGTGTATGGTGTAAGTTGGTGGTTGAATATCAGTTTTTTTCCTGTAGCCGTCCAGCTCTCCCAACACTATTTGTTGAAGAGGCTATTTTTATTCCATTTTAAGCTTCTGCCCCCTTTGTCGAATATTAATTGACCGTAGAGACATGGGTTTATTTCTGGGCTCTCTATTCTATTCCATTGATTTATGTATCTGTTCCTATACCAATACCAGACCGTTTTGATTACAGTGGCCTTGTAATATAGTTTGATATCAGGTTTTGTGATCCCTCCTACTATATTCTTCTTTCTCAAAATTGCTGCAGCTATTTGGGGTCGTTTATGGCTCCATATGAATTTTTGTAATGTTTGTTCTATGTCTGTGAAATACGTCATTGGTATTTTAATAGGGATTGTGTTGAATCTATAAATTGCTTTGGGTAGTATGGACATTTTGACGATGTTAATTCTTCCAATCCATGAACATGGTATATGCTTCCACTTATTTGTGTCTTCCTTAATTTCTTTCTTCAGTATTCTGTAGTTTTTGGAGTATAGGTCTTTTACCTCCTTGGTTAAGTTTCTTCCTTGGTACTTTATTTTTCTTGTTGCTATAACAAATGGGATTTTTTCCTGAGTTCTGATTCTGATATTTCATAGTTGGTGTACAAAACTGCCTTCGATTTCTGAATATTGACTTTGTATCCTGCTGTTTTACCAAATTCACTTATTAGGTCGAGTAGTTTCTCGGTGGAGTCAATGGGATTTTCTATGTACACTATCATGTCATCTGTAAACAATGACAGTTTTACTTCCTCCTTTCCAATTTGGATGCCTTTTATTTCTTTTTCTTGTCTGATCACTGTGGCTAGGACTTCCAATACTATGTTGAATAGAAGTGGTGAAAGTGGACAACCTTGTCTTGTTCTTGATCTTAGTGGGAAAGCTTTTAGTTATTGCATGCTGAGTATGATGTTGGCTGTATGTTTTTCATATATGGCTTTAATTATTTTGAGATGTGCTCCCTCTACTCCCACTTTCCAGAGTGTTTTTATCATAAAAGGGTGCTGTACCTTATCAAGGGCTTTTTCCACATCTATTGATATGATTATGTGGTTTTTGTCTTTCCTTTTGTTTATGTGAGGTATTACCTTTATTGATTTGCAAATATTGAACCATCCTTGCATCCCTGGGATGAATTCCACTTCATCATGGTGGGTGATCTTTTTAATGTATTGCTGGATGCAGTTTTTCAATATTTTGTTGAAGATTTTAGCATCCATGTTCATCAGCGATATTGACCTGTAGTTTTCTTTCTTTGTGGTGTCTTTATCTGGTTTTGGGATTAGGAGGGTGCTGGCCTCATAAAAAGAGTTTGGGAGTCTTCCCTCTTCTTGGATTTTTTGGAATAGTCTGAGAAAGACAGGGCTTAGCTATTCCTTAAATGTTTTGTAAAATTCTCCTGTGAAACCATCCAGTCCAGAGCATTTGTGTGCCAGGAGTTTTTAAATTACTGCTTCAGTTTCACCAGCTGTTATTGGTCTGTTCAGGCTTTCTGCTTCTTCTTCATTCAGTCTTGAAATGTTATATTTTTCTAGAAATTTGTCCATTTCATCGAAGTTTTCAAATTTCTTGGCATATAATTGTTCATAATAATTTCTTGCAATCCTTTGTATTTCTGTAGTATCAGTTGTAATTTCTTCTCTTTCATTTCTGATATAATTTATTTGAGTCTTCTCCCTTTTTTTCTTGATGAGCCTGCTTAAAGGCTTGTCAATTTTGTTTATCTTTTCAAATAACCAGCTCCTGGATTTGTTGATCCTTTGAATTTTTCTTTTAGTCTCGATGGCAATCAGTTCTGCTCTGATCTTGATTATTTCCTTCCTTCTATTCGCTCTGGGCTTTGTTGTTGTTTCTACAGTTTTTGAAGCTCTAGGTCTTTTATTTGAAATGTTTCTATCTTTTTTAGGTAGGCCTGTATTGCTATGAACTTCCCTTTCAGGGCTTCCTTCACTGTATCCCATAGATTTTGGGCTGTTGTGCGTTCATTTTCATTTGTTTCTAGAAACTTTTTGATTTTTTTCTTTGATCTCACTATTGACCCATTCTTTAATAGCATGCTAATCAGTCTCCATGAGTTTGAATGTTTTTGAGTTTTTTCCTTGAGATTGGTTTCTAGTTTCAAGCCCTTGTGGTCCGAGAAAATGCTTGTTATGATTTCAATGTTGTTGAATTTGTTGAGGCTTGTTTTGTGTCCCATCATGTGGTCTATATTTGAAAATGTTTCACATGCATGTGAAAAGAATGTGTATTTTGCTTCTTTGGGATAAAAGCATCTATATATGTCAGTTAAGTCCATTTGATCTAATGTGCTGTTCAGTTCCACAACATCCTTGTTGATGTTTGTTTGGAAGATCTATCTATTGTTGACTGTGGGGTGTTAAAATCCCCTACTATCAGTGTGTTGCTGTCTATATCTTTCTTGAAGTCCTCCAAGATTTTCCTTCTATATTTGGGTGCTCCTATGTTGGGTACATATAGGTTTACAATGTTTATGTCTTCTTGATGGATTCTTCCTTTGAGTATTATGAAGTGTCCTTCTGGGCCTTTGTTTTGAAATCTATTTGTCTGATATGAGTATTGCTACCCCTGCTTTTCTCTTCTGTCCATTTGCTTGGAATATTTTTTCCATCCTTTTACTTTCAGTGT